CATACAAGGAAAAAATTTGAAAGGAAATTTCTAAGGGGATGATTTGCCATTAGACATAGGCATTTCACATGCCTTCAAGTCACATATTTGAAATTAGGTCCTGGATTTAAAGCAGCAGTGTAATTTGCACATGCCATCGTGTAAACTGCAAGTAGCTCTCAGACTGATACAGTTTAAAATTAGGATCTTTCAGCACTTGCATTAAATCACTTTATTGTGTATTTAAACAGTATGCTAGTAACAATTTTAATTAGTTTGGTCTGGCAGATCCCAAAGTCCTCCCAAACTCGGAGGACACCATGGGATCAAAAAGGAAACAGATTCAAACTCAGGAAGCATCTCTGTACGTTTCCTTCATCCCACTGAGAAATACAGAGAGGTTTCAAGTAGCTCATAGTCCCTAAATACCTAAAAAGTAGACTCTACACCATTGAAACTTTTGCAGTAACAGTGCCCAAAGATGAAGGATCACGGGTTTGAAACAGGAAATTGAATGACCTCCTGTGAATCTTAAGCCAAATATGATTTTGTAGGTTTTAATCATTACTATTATTTAATAACAGAAAAAGCTTGAAGTATTAAAAGTTCTCTCCAACTAAGCCATCAATTATAGCTTTATAAACCTCAAACTTAACTGTCAACACAAAAATGCTCATTTAGTAGAAAACACTTCCCTTATTATCCAAATTTCTAATGCACTTCATTTTGTTCCAACACTACATACACTGGCAGCTTCCTCACTAAATACTGCTATAGAAATAGAGTTCACAATATTTACACAGCAAATTCTAAATAAAAATTATAGTGTTCTAATGCCCTAGCTTTTTAATGTGTGCTTCTGCTACCACTTTTAATGTCTGATTCTGTTCTTTTCCATTTTGATCTATAAAAAGACGGGGAGGTTTTTTTTCAATTCTGCAACTGTTTCAGAATACTGTCACAACACAGCAATGCAATTACCCGATTGCTGAGTACTGTCTATGAGTGTGACACGTAGGGAGCTCCAGCTAAAGAGACCTTCACCCTTGAGAGAGAAAGCTGGAGGCACTGCATTCAGTCTTACAGAGAACATCAAGGCAAGTTGTGGCTGTTGCATCAGGGTGGGGGAAAATCCTGTAAACAAAAAGTCCTGACACTTGACTACAGGGCTTCTAGACACAGTTATTTCTAAGTACTCCACAGGATAGAGATGTTTTAATTTCTATTATCATTAACATCCATTTTCATTGTCCTTCTTTGTTTCTTTCAGTTGGATGTCAGCAGAGTTCAGTTGGGTGCACCAGACACAGGAACTCAGGTTTTGCTGGCAATACAGGGACACACAGTTAAGTTCTCTGAGCAGTACTGCAACACTCCAGCTGTTCTGACAAATACGTCACCAGATAACAAGCTCTTCTAGCGCTTCGGAGCAGCCAGAAGATACACAGTAGGCAAAACAACAACATTCCCAACCTCCAGACAGTGTCATTTCACACAGCAGTCAACAACTCAAAATTCTACAGTGCAAGGCCAGAAGAGTTCACCTACGTCAGTCTCCCACGTACCTCCAGCAGCCAAGTCTCACACTGATACTGCAGATCAGTCCCCAAGATAAAAGCACATTACACAAAAGCACTATGCCCTCAAGGGACTAAGGCAGGTTCTGTGCACAGGGATGAGGGAAGAACCCCACTGACAGTATCCTTGGCAATATAATTATCAGGTGGATAAGGTACACCAAGCAGTTGGGAATCAACAACGCTGAAGACAGAGCATAAGCTGCTTTAAAGCAGAGGGGAGAAAAACCATAAGAGAACCGTCAGTGTCTTGAGACAGTAAGAGCTGGGGACAAAGTAAGAGGTAATAAAAGTGAGCGAGTGAAAGGGCCTGTGTGTCTCAGGACAATGACGCAAACAGAGCCTGTGACCGGGGTCTTCCTCTGCTATGACCCCTGCAAGCTGTGCTGAGACAGCACTTATTTCTACCTCCAAGTCAGAAGACAAGAAAGATCACAAGAAGAAATTTAATCTAGTTGAGATGTGAGGTAAAATCAAGAGTTCCAAGAGAAGATCAAGGAAGGTAACAATGGAAGACTTATGTGGAAAACTAGACTGCTTCCCTGGGATTGGTTTTATTTAATATGTGCTGTTTTCACAAATACAACACTAAATGCAAACTAATAAAGCAAACTATGCCAAGAGGAGATTATCAGACATAATCCAGACACAGCTGCTCTAAACAGGAGTGTATGCAATCTCTTTTGCACTTAAGCAGTGGAATCAAAATACGAAGAACTCTCCTAAAAGCCTCAATCATGTAATATTCAGGACTTCTTTTCTCCTTCACTTCACTTACACTCCCTGTGTATTTTCCTGCTTCAAAAAATTTGCTCCTACAACAGCCCGTTGGCTCACTACACAGGTCCTCTGAACACTGGCAGGCTCTCAGTTCCTCTGGCCTTAGATTTTCTGCCAGGTACTTCCTACTTCTATGGTAGATATAGCTCAATGATTCTGGAAAAAAAAAAAAAACAAAAAACAAACAAACCAAAGCACAACAGAACAAAACACCAAAGAAACAAAGAAAAAAACGACCACATTAAAAAAAAAAGTTACAAATAAAACAAACAAAAAAATCAAAGCAAACAAACCAAAACCACACACAAAACAAAAGCAAAAACAAAACAAAAACAAAAAGAAACAACGCCCCCAAAAAACAAACAAACAGAAACACACCAAAAAAAACCACGAAAATACACAACTTGTTCCCCAGGTAAAAGAAATGTACCGCTAACTATGAGATCAAGAAGCCATGTGTGCTAGCTGCTCTTTCAGGAACAAAGGCAGCACTCAGACATGTTTGGTGAGCACTGTTTTAGATTAGCCATTCATTAAAATACTATTAATGTGCGTAATTCAAGGGGGGTGGAAAATAAATCAATAAATTAAAACACTATCTTTCTGGCTGCCAGGCTTCTTGTGACGCTGACACTTAGGGGTTTTTCCGCATTTCCCTTTATCTGTTAAACTGCAATCCAGATGCTATTAACAGTGTTCCAACTGCCTACATTTATTGCACGGGTTTTTTTGTTCTCCTTCCATTTTAATCTCAGGTCTACACCATCCAGCACCACATTATTATGCAGTCTTACGTGTGTACCATTTTCAATGGAAAAAAAAAATCAGTTTTTTCAACTTTCTTAATAACAGCTTACTGGTGTCTCAACAACAAGTGACAGCTAAAAGAGCCTTTTCTGCGCCCCAGAATGTATTCTTTTATCTCAGTTCCTAGGACCCGTTTTTGTTTTCCTACCTCAACATACTTCCAATTCATGTTTGATGGTCCCTACTTGTGAGATCTCATCAGCTCAGCCTTTCAGTCACAGCTCCTTCGGAAAACGTGTTTCTTGAAGTGGCTACATTCCCCATGCTTTTGATAAAGTTGCTCAGCATCATCTATGTAATTTAATGCTGATGTTTTCTACTGTCTTCACACGACAGATGGAAATGAAAGGTACAATTTTCACAGTAATTCTCCATTACACACAGTGATCAGCTTCTTGTTTAGCTCTTTATACGCAATCAAAGGATAAATCAAACACAAGACCACATCATTCCAGGCTGCCAAAATGTTTTTGTCCCAAAAACTCTAGAGACCAAGAATAAACACCCTGAAAAGGGAAGACACTTTCATCAACTCAATCATCCAGTTCATGTTCTATCGTCAGTCTTAGTGAATGGTGTATGAATACACTTTTAACACAATCAGCTCCAAGTGAAGCTCAAAACCATATTTTCCTTAAAGGATACTCTGAAAACATTTTGACCATGAACCATCAAAAAGAAAAAAGAAACACCTATAACATATAAGCATCCTTTGGCTACTAAGAATCAGCTTCAATGAAGAGATTTTGGGAAAGCCTTCAAAGTGGACTAGACAAGTCCGTGTCTCACAGTTTATAAAGAAAGGCATGAAAAGCATTTTTGAGACAAACGTCACACTTGTGCACCTCTCCTAAGTCCTTAAACACTGTGTATGTTTAAAAAGAGGGCTAAAACTTTATTCAGTAACACTCTTCAAGAACAGCACTCGCCCCAAAACAACACATCTCAAGATGCTCAGCTGGCACCTTATTAACATCATCACGGACACATGGATTTTGATTCAAAAAGGTGACAAGCAGCTGGATAAAGGAGCTGCTATCAAATCAACCCACGTGTGTGGAAGAAGAGATGAACTATCAAAAGCACAGCAGTGCCAGTTTTTTTATCATACCTGGCAAAGGAGCTGAGAACATTAAAACTACACTTTTAAGCCGCAGGGCACGGTTAGCGCTCGGGGACGCCCTGTGACCACGGCTTGCAGCTCAGGGAGACACATCCCAGTAGCGTGAGCCCTGTGGCAGATGGTTTTCCCCGGGGATTTGTTATTATTTATTTATTTTCTGGCACAAGGGGAACAAGAGATGGAAAACCGGAGATGGAGAGCAAGCCGCTATCACTGTAGCCCACTGTGCAGAGAAAGTGCCCACAACCTGTTCAGCCAGGGGGACGAGGCTCGGTGGCAGGACGAGAAGGAGATTAGGGATGCGCCTGGAGTAACAATGCACGCTACAAGGCGAGCACACGGAGTGACAGCAGCCCTGCTTCCTGCCAGCGAGCTTCACTGGGCGGCAGCGATTCAACTCGTGTCCGAGCCAACTCCCAAAGTCAAACCCGGCTCCTCCCAGCTCCTCCCGGGGCTCCGGGCTCCCGCCGCCCGGGATCGCCGCTCCCGGACACCGCACCTGCCCCCCGGCCCCGCGGGCACCTCCCGCCCCGCGGCAGCGCAGGTGGAGGCTGCGGGCCGAGGCCGCCCGGCGGCTCCGCCGGCAGGCACCGGCACGCCCCGTCCCCGCTGCCGGGAGGCGCAAATCCACTTCACCCAGGACAAAGCCAAACCCTGCCCGGGCGTGACACCCCCCCCTCCACACACACACACACTCCCATCCCACCCCATCCCGCCGCCGCCGCCCCGCTCACCTCGCACGCACAGCAGCGACATGGCGGCCCCGGCAGCCGCCCCCGGCTCTCCTCATGCCGCCCGCGGACACCGGGAGCGGCGGCGCCTGAGCCGGGGCGGGGCCGTCCCGCCGGGGCAGGGCCGAGAGTGACGAGAGGCGCGTCAGGGGCAGTTCGCGCCCGAGGGACGGGGAGCTCGGGTGAGGGGGTTGGGTGCTTTGCTTCTCGGTGGGTTTTGTTGTTTGTGTTGGTTTTCTTTTTTTTTTCCCCCCACCGGCTTTTGTTTCGCTCCCGCAAGGTGGGAGAGCTCGCTGCGGGGAGTGGCGTCCTGGCTGTGTCTTTTCGCGGGAGCTCCTGCCAGCGTTTAGCTGTCCCGTCCTCGCACAGGTTGTGGTTTGCTACCGTAACATCCCGAGCTGGAAGGGACCCACAGGGATCATCGAGTCCCGCCCTTGCCCAGGACACCCCAGCAATCACACCATGTGACTGAGAGTGTAGTCAAAATACGTCTTGAGCTCTGTCAGCCTTGGTGCTGTGACTACTTCTCTGGCGAGCCTGTTCCAGTGCCCAGGCATCCTCTGGATGAAGAACCTTCTCCTAATAGCCAGCTTAAACCTCACCTGATACAGCTTCATGCTACTCCCTTGGGTCCTGTCTCTGGTCACCAGAGAACAAAGAAGTTGTAGACTGCAATGAGGTCTCCTCTCAATCTCCTCCAGGATGAATAAGCCAAGTGTCCTCAGCTGCTCCTTGCATGGTTTCCCTTCTAGACCCTTCACCATCTCAACTGATGATGAAAAAGCTTGATGGATTCGCAGCAACAGCCACCTGTATCCCCCTGGTATAGAAAAAGCCATAAACAAAACACTTCTGGAAAAGCAGGACAAGCGGGTGTGATTCCTGTACCCTAAGTCCTCCCACAGTACTGTTCCTAAAAAGGGCAACCAGCTCTGAGGGTTTTCAGAACCTGATGCGTTTGTGCATTTGGTAACCCCTAATCCACCTGTCTGATTGCCTGGTCTGTCTCAGATCCCTGTAAAGTCCTTGCACCCCCATGTTCTCATACAGCGACTCACGAGTTGGTTGCCTGTTGCAGAAAAAACATCCTGAGGTGGTTTCCCTTGAGCCTGGTTCTAGTCTGGTTTCCCTGATCACCTCTAGTGCTTTCAGTGCTGCTTCATCCCAAATTATACATAACCATAACACTGCAGAATGTTCTTCTAATTCTGAACAGAGGGTCCAAGGTGAAACAAATAGTTTCTGAGATTGAAACTCAGCAGCAAAATGTCATATGATGTGATTGCTATTCCATTAACATTTAGAACAACTCAAAAGTCCACAAGGAGAGTGGAAGACAAGACTTTTAGCTGTGTTTCAAAGACACAACCTACCTTCCCAAGATTCAGAACTAGACAGGTGAGATTTAATTTCTGCCCTATCCAGCACAGCATGTTTTACTGTGTTTGTGTTTGCTGCCCAGAAGTGCATCAGTGAAGGGAATGTGCCAAAAATATTCGTAAAGCTTTCCTGAGATACTAAGAGGAAGCACTTGTAAGGATAAACCGTGATGTTCCTGCAAAAAAACAAGCAGACTGTGTGCTAAAGGTGTTACCAAAGGCAGACTCAAGGGACTGGGAACACTTGCACTTAGCAGTGTGAATGGGAACTGTCAGTACAGGGAGCTGCAACTGCCAGCACTGAGGCAAGCAGGAAAGAAATCTTCTCTTCTTGCCCCTGAAGTGGTTTCAGTGCTGCTGAAATGCTGCTAGACTCCTGAGAAGCTCTTCTTTGCTTCTTCACATGTTCATCAAGTGTAACAGTGGCAGACTGTAAGGGCTCCAGCACACCAGCCTCTATTTTGTCTGTACATCATCAAAGCCTACCCCAGTGAGCTGGGCACAACACTGACTTTCCAGTTAACTTGAAGGGAACTTATTGTTTTGCTCTAAAAAGTCCATTATTATTTATCTCACATGTGCCTCAGGGCCACATCCCTGGCCTTTTCAGATCTCCATCACTCCTCTGCATTCATCAGAGCCTGGGAGCTTTTCATCAGCAAAAGATGTGTTTGAGGGTCCCTGTGCTGTCTCGATGCCTTTTCTTTCCTGTCTTCTTTGCAGCCTTCTTGCAAATGAAGACTCCTAAACTTTGCATGAGCTAATCTCTGCCATAAACACACACTCCCATCATGACTGTTCTCTTCCCTTTGTGGGGCCCTGTCCTAATTTAAAAATTAAAGCCTTGAAGGCCATAATTGTTACATACTGCATCATGCAGCACCTGGTACAGCAAGTCCCTGTCTTACCCACAGCTTGCAAATGCTACCAGAATACAGAAATTATCTCATCAAGGGCAGATGATGTCATATGAATTTTTAAAATCACACTAATATGTTATTAGCAAGCGTGGCAATCAAGTAAGTGTCTTGTAGCTAGGATGAGATATGTAACCACCAGCAGTAACAGTGAAGGCTGGGATTATCACAAATATTATTATTTCCCTGCAGTTCTGAGGTCTAATTAGACGCAAGTGTTTCACCAGACTTTATATAATCAAAATAAATCATTTGTACTTGTGTGTCTGTCTATCTCTCCTCTTCTTTCCACCTCAGATAGCCTGGAAGAGGGATCAAACCACTACTACAAAACTTCTGCAAAGCAGAATTGCCTTCTTCTAAATTATGTTTGCTCTTTGAAATCAACTTCCTTATGTTTTCCCAGCTGAAGTGACACTCCCCAATGCAACTTTCTCTGTTATTGTTTCTAGTTCTTCCTCTGGACATTGTTGTCATAAACACCAAAATAGTTTAGTGATAAAAATGCAGCATTAGAAAGAGGAAAGAAAAACCCTGCACTGTCCTCATGCTCTTAAACATGAATGATCTTGCCAGGTTTATTTCTATAAATCCACAAAAGGGAATGCCAGGTTTACAAATACTTAACTACAAGCAGAGCCCTAACCTGTTGTAGCAGACCAGATGAAAATTCTGCAGCTGACATGTGCTCTGGTAGCACAGGCAGCAGTGTATTTTTTTTTTTAATGGAGAATTCTACTGAGTTAAAGAGGAAAAATACAGCGCAGCGAGCACACTGGAGCAACCTTCATACACTATATGTCTTTCTGAACAACAAATGAGGTTTGCAGAACAACTCTGCAAGTCAGAAAGGAGGCATTACTGTCAACTCTAAAGTAATACCTAATTTTTCTCTTGCTGCAGAGGAGGAGTTAATTTTTTCTGGTTACTCAGACCCCAGCCGTTGGTCTCGGTTCACCTCCTGTTGAATAAGAAAGTAATAAAAGGGTGATACTACACTCACTGCAGCTTGCCAGCTGTTTTATACCTACCTGTTTGCTGTACTTTCCCTGTTCATAGAGCAATACTGTACCTGTATTTGCCGTCTAAGTAAAATGTGTTTGCTTCTTCTCTTCTTGTTCTTCTGCATTTTTTGAGCTTTGTATTTGTTGCTGGAGAATGGCTCAAGCTGAAACTTAGCGTGTAGCAAACCCGTGTGGGCTTTATTTTAAATGAAAGGGTTTAGATCTGTTAAACCATTTTTTTCTGTTATGCAACTGGAAAAAAAATCATCTCAGACCTGTTTTTTGGGGCTAAGCTCTGAAGATAAGGAGAAAAAGCTTTTAATTTACCCTCTGACATTTGGCAGGAATTCAGGGCTGAATATAGACTAAGCAGTTGATTGATATTCTGATATTGGAAAGCAGCCCTCATATTTATTTGACTGTAAAATAACAGGCTACTGAAATGGCTTTCACTGGTATTTCTGATCTATTACTTTATTAATAAAATGTAAGATTTGCACAACCACTAGGGGACCATAGGAACTCTTTCACAGTACTGTGTGGTGTCTTTCTTATCTATGTGCAGGAGACATTTCAATATCATCCTGAAATGCACCTTCACCTGAAGTGGATCGCAGTTGATTATCAGTGCACAAGGTGAAGAACACCACATACATGCACTGAAAAGTGCAGGGAAGCAGCCTGCAATCCTCTCAGTTATATATGAACCATAATATTCGGATTTAGCACTCAAAAATACCCCAAAAAATGTTAAAGGTCTCAGAACGGATGGGACCTCTGCACCTGCAGGGCAGCGAGAGTAACAGGGCAGCAACCCCCACCAAACAAGCAGCCAAATTTTGGGCTGCAGTTTAGGGCCTTCTCTTTCCAGTGTCACAGTCTTGGCTTTTCCTAAAGATTGGTGGTATCTGGAGGTGACAGTGGTCTGGCAATTAGAGACATTAACCAATGGTTTAATTTTAATTGCTTCTTGGATCAGTGTCTCTCCAACCATCCTGTTCAACTGGCTACCATGCCACTGAAGTCACCGTACTGAGCCTTTCTTTTTGGCACACTCAGGAGCATTCTGCAGCCATTTAGCTTTCCTCCACAAGTAGCACGAGCACTTGTAGGGTTTAGTAGGGTTTAGTCTTTGTGCCTTAATTCGCCACCCACAAAATGGAGGTGGTGATATTTCTTTAAGGAAGGAGGTATTAAAGATAAAGGGTGTCCTGATTATAAATACATTAGTGGTGATGACGTGTGTGGACACTGTCACTTCCATTTAAAACAGCACAAAGAGATCTGCCAGCTTTTAGATTATAAGGCATGTTCAAAAGACTGGGGGGGGGCGGGCAAGAAGTATCTTTTCATCTCAAGGAAAAAACCCTCTACATAAGAGAGCAGCTTCCATGGGAACTGATCTTTCAATTACAACTGCTCATGCTGGAGTTGATAGAACTGAACCCATTTCTCATACAATTATCCCAAGCATCCCAAATATGGCATTTCTTATTCATACTGGGTCAGTTTGTCCTTGAGACACAGTAGGATTATGCTGCAGGCCACACCCGGGGCTACACATGTGCAGTGTGGGATCTTTATCCAAGCAGTGAGCAGCAAAGCCAGCAACACAGGGTTTGTGGGAAGTAGAGACCCTAACAGGGATACTTCTCCAGGATCTGATCACGCATGCCAGGACTGGTGATGCCTGCTGGTGATCCCTCACTTAGCCAGCATGGACAGTGGCACTATTGCTGCCTCCTCAAAAGCAGGTGTCGCAGAATCACGAAAACAAC